GTCAAATAATGTGAACATTTACTGAACATGCTAAAAAGACGAATATAAAAATGTATACACTACATAAACTTTCTATTAATCTTTCTTTGTCGATAGTAAATATAAGGAGAAGAAAAAAAGTAGTTGAACTCAATTAAATAACTAATTTTACCCTCAATTGCTTGCATATTTGCAACAGTAACTGGTAATGGTGTGAAACTTGACTGAAATCGTGCATTATTAATTTGAATACCAAATATTTTCACATCATAATATTTTAATGGTGAATTTTCTTCACATATTCCTAGATTGTCAATTATAATATAGAGTGGTCGTTGAAGATGTGTCGATTGATAATGTTCAAGTAAATAAGATTCTCCACGAAGTATTCGAAAAACCCAAACAAATGCTGAATAAGGATGATCAGCAGACCATCGATGAAGTGAAAGAATTCTACCAGTAAAAATGACATTAGATGAATTCATTTGTAAAATATCAATAATATGACATGATTGAATCGATAAAATCAATATCGGTAAGCAGAATAGCCAGCCGATTAGAGCCATGTTTTGATCGGATTAATAAATTGGCTTTGGAGCTTAAAAAATATATATAGTATTATAGATAAAGAATACAACGACAGATCTGAGTGTGTTTGTTTCAAGACAATCAATCTGATTGAGATGCAAGTTGTTTGCTTACTGTTATTATAACTAATAGAGGAAAAAAATGAAGAGATGAAAAAACGGAAATGGTCAAAATCATTGAGTATTTCTTCTTCTTCTTTTTTTTTTTTTATTTCCCATTCTTTTATTTCTATGAAGTCTACCGACAATCTTCATCAGTTTTTATGTACTTATGTCATGCAATAACATAATTTAACAGTGTTTCTCAGACATATTAAGACTTAAGTGTAAATAAAATAACATCAATAGGAATATATAAAATTGATTAATACGATGAATTAAAATACAAAGATTATCATACAAATGGTTTCTTTTTAATACAAAGAAATCCAATTTCTCTCATAGAACTAATTGAGTATAAATGTCAAATAGACTAGATATTAAGAATTACGACTTTTCCTTATACATTCAAAGTTGACCTTGATAAAAATAAAAGATTGATTCTTCTTTTTTTTATATAAAGTTTATATTTAAACTTACCTATGAAGTGTTTTGAGAAGCTAGTAACTTCAAAATACTTTTTATAATAAAAAACGAACGTTAAGCATAATAATTATATGTGTATAGAAATACATCTTTACTCTTTTTTTTTCAAATGTAATACAATACAAAAGAAAACATAGAAGAAAAAAAGATCTTTTAACAAAAAAGAGTCAAACATTTATTTTTTATCGTTTTCGATCAAATAAAAGCAAACATTTTATTGTTAGTGATCCCGATGGCCTTGAATTTGTACTATTAGAATATCATTAATGTAATTACATTGTCAATTTGATATCGAACATTAATTATAAATCATATTTCCTTTTAAATAAAATAACAGTACTAAAGAAGATAGATATTTATAGATCTCGCTAATTGATGTTTTCAACATAACTTGACTATATTAATTCGAAAATAAAAGCCTGGAAGAATCTATTGAAAATTGAAAGTCACGTATATTGACATTTTTATGCTTTAACTTATTGTAATATAATTTATTTTTTAATAGCAACAAGAAATGTCACGACTACTGGAATCTTTTACAATTTCGAAGTATTCAGATGTCCTCTCTCTTTTTTTCTCCTTTATAATTCTATCTGTCCAAAATTTCTAATTTAATATAAATCACTCAATACAAGATTACAATATTAAAAATAACAGAACTATCAATGTCATGATTATGTACTAGTTCAGATTGATTTAGATAGCTATTAATAAAAAAAAAAGATGACTGTGTTAATGATTAAATCAGTTGAATTTTCTATAAGAGTTCTTGTAAAGACATGAAGAACTTTTTGTTCAATTCCGTAAATTTATACATATTGATTCAACCTAGATGTTGTATTTCAATCTTTGAACGGACATGAAAAATATTGTAGATTTACAAAACTGGAATTCATAATTCAGTTTAAACTTATGACAAAATATATACTCTAAAAATATCATTGTGTTGAAGTTTTAATTATAAACAGTTTATATATTACAGGAAATATTTGAAAAGAAAAGCATCAGAACTTTTTTCCAGTGGCGGATCTAGCTAATCGGCGACCGCCACTCCCTCGCACATAGATACTTCGACGAATATTGAAAACAGGTAGAACATTATTATTTTCTAATATTATTACTACATACCTAATGAAACTAGTCTCTCCTTTAAATGTCTTTTTTCAGCATGAGAGATTCCTTCATTAATTCTACTAAAGATTACTTTTGAAAATAATTTATTAATGAATTCATATTTTTTTTTGATTGCCAATAACTATTCACATATTCATGAAATAATTTTGTTGCTAGAGAATAATCCTCTTTTTGAGATGACTACTAAAGATGTCAGAAGCCTGATTGCATAAGTATTCAATCAATGGAAAATATTGAATTGCATTCTATTATTGTAGTTTTGTTACTCAGTCGGAAATTTACTTAAAATAAATTAAAACGATCAATTATATAATCGATCAAACTTGACAATCATTGAAGTATAAGATTGAGTTTTCGATGAAGCACCTATAAAAAAATATAAATTTTATTATTTTTTTTGATTTACAATTAAATATCATAGACATGATATAGTTTTAATCATTTAATGAAGATCGAATACAATGCAAACATGTATCAATTAACATTCATTCTTTCTTTTGTATATTAAGAATAAATCTTTTAATAAAACATGATAGACATTGATTTATTTTACAAAAAAAAAAGAAGTTTCTATCGAATACTTTACAATTGAATATTTTTTTTTCACATAAATCTATATGTGCATGTTAATGAATATCAAGCTGGATTATAAATTCTATATTTCAATGATTCTGTCTAATAATATACTGTTACGTAAAGCAAAAAGCTTATTAAAGAAAAGTTTTAGTAAATAATATATATTTTCATTTGATAGAATATGTTTCTATTTAGTAAAGATGTAATTTTGACTCATTTGTACGTAAAAAAACAACGTCATTCTCATTGTTTTGTGGACGAGACGTGCTCTCGAACAAGAATCGATTCACTTCTCTTTTACCATTTTAACTGGGTCATGCTCGTGTTTGTCTCTTTGCACAAGCTGACATTTAGATCGATCGTCCTCCTGCTTGCCTGTCTATCGTTTCGTTGTCGAACGAAACAATGTAATTATATGCTAAGTTTGTCTTGTTACGGCTACTATCACCATTGTGGAGGTGTATGTATATATTCATTCTCTCAAGAGTGACATACACTATTCTCTTTCTCTCTCTCTCTCTCTATGTTTATTTCGTGCCGTCTTCTCACGTTCGACTGTCAATTGATTGTTCTATAAAAAAAAGAAGATGAAGAAGGAAATATGTGAGACAAAATAAACACACAGATACAAAAGAGTAAAATAGAAAAGAGATAGAGACAAAGAAAGAACATCATTTATTCTTTATTTTTAGTCTTTTGAATAAGATGATAATAAGGTGTTCATTATAACAGTAATCGTGAAAAGTGGCGATCTATACAGTAAAAGACAATGAAGCGAAATGGTTGGAAAATGATGTGAGTAGTAAAAAAAAAGAAAGTTTCTTAACGATTTATATTTGATCACACATCTCTATTATATTTCTCAATTATTTCTAATCATATAAATAAACCAATCGTTTGAACTTGAAATCTATCTCTTTTATACCTATTATATTCATCTTATATATATATATATATATATACCACCTTAATATAAATGCATCTCCGCTCTTAGTCAACAAATCATTTTCTTTTCGTACACTCATCATGTTACATCTTTTCATCATCGCAGGAAAAGGGAGAGCGAAAACGAGTTAATCTCTTTTTTCTCATCATCATCGATCGATTTATTTTCTTCTTCTTCGTTTTCTTCGTTTCTTTTTTTTCACATCAAACTGCAGACAACAAAGAAAGCAAACAAACAAACAAAAAAATAGAAGGGCGTTAACTACTCTTTTTGAATAAATCATCTATTTCAAATCTATGTGTGAATTGACTTTTTTTCCAATGTTGATTATTAGAAAAAAAAAATTTTCTATTAAACATCTGTTCCTATTGTGAATTATCAGATATTATTAAGATACTTGAGATCAGGATATTATACCAGCATCATTGCAAAATAAATGAAGCAAAAAATAATATGTCTATACTCGTTTTTATTGGTTCTCAAAAGAATGGTAAACCAATAGAAAAAAAAGACGTTTCATTTCTCTCTCTCAATTAACGTATCTCAACTAATCCCCTCCTCTTCTCTCTTCTCTCTTTCTCATTCGGCACGTGCTCTCTTCTTTTTCTGCAGAGCGCATACACAGACAAAAAATAGGAAGAAAAAAAAAATACGAATATTGTACCCTCTCTCTCCCCTTCTCTTTCTCTTTCTGTTTCTCATAAAATCGTTTTCGTAACTAATGAACATAAATCTTACAATCAACACCGATTCGAACGACAACGAGTATTAGACTGGTGTATAGAAATAGAAAAGGAAAAAAGGTATTAATCTGTCCGGATTTATTTCTTTCTTTTTCTTTCTCTTTATTTTGATACAAAAACTACATAAAAAATAAAACAAAATAAAAAAAAACCTTCTTGTTTTTTCATCATTTTTGGCATCATCAAAAATTAATCCAGGATTAATCATGTATACGTATGTATAAGTTTTTATTTATATTTAGTGCCGGTGATAAACAAAAATGGATAATCCAAATGAAACACTTGCTACTCTTTTAAATGCTCCTATACATGCAGATTATGCTGATTATTTCAATTCATCACATTTACAATATCATCATCATCATTATTTTCATAATGCAAATCGAATGTATCAAACTCCTTCAACATCCTATTTTACACCTGAACAGTTTGATCTTCAACAACAACAACAACAACAGCAACAACAATTAACTACTGATCAGCATCAACTCTATTCATCCCCAACAGCAAATACAAATTATCTTCAACATCATTCATCTGCTGATATTTATCATTCACAATATCAATCAACAGCATCGTCATCCACACTTTTAACACATTTACCATCATATGAAACTTATGCATCTCCAACAATTTTAGCTAATCTTGAGCAACAACAACAGCATCAACAAAAACCTAATATTATTAAATATGAACCAAATAATGATTTAACGAATAATTTAAGTGAACAAAGTGGTGGTGAAGAACTTGGTTGTAATGATGATGAAAAAAAATCATCAACTAAAAAATCTAAATGTAACAATTCTGCTGGAAATAATCCAAATGGTCGACAACGCCGTCAACGTACACATTTTTCTAGTCAACAATTAACACAACTAGAGCAAACATTTACTATTAATCGTTATCCGGATTTAGCAACACGTGAAGATATTGCAGCAATGACTAATTTAACTGAAGCTAAAGTTCGTGTTTGTAAGTATAAAACAAACGCTTGATTCAAACACTATAGAACTCAATTTCTTTAGGGTTTAAAAATCGTCGAGCTAAATGGCGTAAACGTGAAAGAAATATGGATCATATACGAAATTTTTCTCATATTGTTCCTCCATTTGAAATGTATGCTCATCATCAAACACCACCATCATTTATGTCAACTTATCCTACAAATACAAATTGGGATACAATGAAATCTCCTTCAAGTCCAAAATCATCATCTCAATCATCACCCAATCCAAATCCATCGAGTTCATATCAAACAGCAACTCCATGGACACTACCACCAATGACTTCTTTAACTCAATCATTGCCTCTATCAAATAATTACAATGATACATCATCACCAGCACCACCAAATACAACTATAACATCATCGTCATACTATTCACTGGCGGATACAAATCCGAATATATATACACATAATGCGAATCTTATGGAACCATTATCATCTCATCCCTTAACACAAGTTTTAAAAAATAAAGCAAAACAAAATGGTTCTAGCTTTCAGTTATATGAAAGTTCAACAACAGCGACAACACAGAATGGATTTTTTTCCGAAACAAATTAAATCAAAACATTTTGTGATATATAATAAACGAAAGACAAAAAAGTTTTTGATTTTTGTTCTGTTTTATACATGTTAGTTTTTTCTGTCTCTCTCTCTCTCAGACACACATTCTCGTTTTCTTTTTGTTGTGCCTTTTTCTTTTCGACCAATATTTCTCGTTTTTTTTTTCTGCGCGTGCGTTTATTTGGTGCATATAAAAAAAATTTAAACCAAAAAAAACAAGGCTAAAAATTGATTTTTTTTGTATATACTTAAATGAATGTGAGAAGAAGACGATGAAACTTTTCATTTCCGTTTTCTCAATAAAAAAATATGTCACAGTGAATAGTTTCTGTTGATTTATTTAATTTTCCCTTAATCGATAAAACGGAATTGTTTCCGTTTTTACTTTTCTCTCATTGGTTTACACACATTTCTATTGACTTAGTATGGGTGTCATAATGAAAAAAAAGAAGAGAAAAGAAAAGAAAATATATCACAAACGAGAATAACGACGATATATCATTATTCTCGTTTGTCTCTTCTTCTTTTTTTTCATTACATGCACTAATCCCTTACCCTGCTAAGCATTGGGCAAATGTTGAATTGTTTCGGTCGCTTGTTCGTTCTATGACCAGACGTGCACATCTACACCTATGTTGTTTTTCATCTATCATGAATATTAAGATTGGATGTCACTCGATATTCAACAAAAGAGAAGCAAAAAAAAGAATATTCATTCGTCAATTTTCACAAAATATTCTTAAACGAAAAAAAATATATAAACTCTCATGTCTTTCTTATATTTATAATGATTATTATGCAAATGAGTATTACATAGACATTTGAATTTTCCGTCTGTCAATCTATATATTTCATGCAAATTATTTTTCACAAGAAAATGTTTTCTTGATTAAGAAATAGAAGAAGAAAAGATAAATATAAAATAACTTACCAAAAACATTGTCATATCGATTGAATTATTGTTACTTATGAGTAGGAAACATGCATATATATATATATATATGTATACATGTGAGCTTCACTATCGACCACTAAATCTGAATGCTAATACAGTATGGTGATCATGGTCGTAATCCTTCACCATCATTCGTGTGTACTTGCGTGCGGCTTTAGACTAAAACCTTGAGCTCTCCTTCCTCTCTCTTTCTTTTACCGATACACATACATACTACTCACAAATCAATATTGAAATAACTAAAAACTTTAAAGAATAAATTTTTTCTTCATTTCATTATTACTATTTAATTGAAAATACAAGTTCATACTGATCGATATATACATATATATGATAAAGATCGAATATCACATATGACTAGAAGAACAAAGTGCAATGAACGAATCAAGGAAATTGCCGACATTACTGACTTGTTTTTCATGAGATTTTGTTACCTATTGACAAAATGTTAATTTAAATTGAAATGATCGGTCACTTTTTATTTTATGTTTAGTAAATAAATCTGATGTCATTAAACTTAGCAAAAAAATGAAACATGAAAAAGAAGATTGAATGACAAATCATATTTTTATTCTATTGTCTAGATTATGAAAAAAACAAAAGATATTATATCTTAATCATTTTTATTGGTTGATTTTTAAAATAAGTAATCATATTCTTCTTCTTAATTTTCCTAAAGTTAATCTTTTCTCAAAAATAGTGTCATTTATTGGAATAATCAAGTATTTGAAGCGTATGCATATATACTTAAGTAAATAGTTTGCAAACAATCGATTATTCTTCATTGAAGAACGAATAATTAAATGACAAATACTAGTCGAAGATAACATCAAACGTTTCGTTTTTAAATGAATATCGATTTTCTCAATATAAAAATAATAAACACGTATATCAAGTTAATTTGATCAAAAAAAATTTTTAGGCTTTATTCAAACATGTTAGTTGGGAAGGAAAGGATTTATATACGTTAATCCAAAATAAAGAAAACAAAATAGATTATAAAAATCTAACAGAAAAGAAAAACATTTTATATAAATATATTATTAGAGTTAATGGTAGGAAAGAACATTGGATCATATGTGTTAATGAAATGTTATCAGTTGACTGAATACAAATGTGTTTTGTCATTGTTATTATAAGATGGTATTCAGAAGGCAACAGACTGGATATAGCTATTAAAAACTTTTATATTAAAGTATACTGTACAACCTCTTTGAATGAAAGATTTCTGTTACTATTTCAATATAGATAAGATAATGATTTTATTTACACAAATAATGTTTAATTATTTTTTAGTCAATAGATATTATTGTAATATTTCCTGTTACAGTCATGTCAAGATTAATATGTATAAATACGATTTAACAAAATTGTTTATACATTTTGTTACTCATTTATTATCGATAATGTCTTATTAATTAATAGTTTTTTTATCAATTAATTTTATTTACTGAAAAGCTCGATGATAAACTTTTATTTTTTCTTATGTTTTATATAACAACACGA